AGCTCGAACAGGAGGTTCGCTCCAAGTATCCAGAGTTGTTTTCTCCCTCAGGTATGGCTTGATTTTGGGGACGAAATCTTTTTAAAGTTAGGGAGAATGTAATGGGTATGATTATATATATATATATATATATATATATATATATATATTAAAGTTATAAAGAATATATTTTTTTAAAAACAAGTGGGTCCCACCAATATATTAAAAACATAACAAAAGGCCATAAGGCCATTACGCAGAACCATCCTCTCTCTCTGCTGCATCATTTCTTCTCGGCAGTTTCGTTTCTTTTTTCTTTTTGCAACTTCAAACTTTGATCTAGCTTTTTCCTTTGGGAATTTGGTAGAACATTGTGAAGCAAAGTTGTTGAGCTTGTCAAAGCCGTCAATTTGATAAGACCCAATCATCATTTGGTGCACTCTAGGGAGTTCGAAATTCTAAGGTTCTTGGGCTCAAATTGGAGGTTTTTATTAATTTGAGGTAGGGGTGCTCTGATCCACTATTTCTTGGATTTCTTGTGGATTTTCACCTTTAATTTGACTTGAAGCATGCTAAATTTTAATTTTTGTGATTATGTTTGTTAGGGTTATTTATATTGATGATGATAAATGTGTATTATGTGATAATTGAGCTTATTAGTATGATGATTTTTAACTTGTAAAGAAGCATACTTAGTGTTGGTTTGTTTTCATGATTTTAGTTGATATGAAAATTTATGTTATAATTATGGAAATAAATTTGTGAATTGTATATTTAAATTGCCACCAAAATGTGGTATAGAATTTGAGTTGTGTATTTCTAGTAATTTATTAATTTGATTGAAAAAGTATGTGGGAACATTAGAGTTGAATTGCTGAAATGAAGCGTGAAGCATTCATGCATCTATTGGGGAAGAAATAGGGAGAAAAATGTTTTAAAATAAATAAATTTGTTTGTTTTTTTTTTTTGGGAAAAATATTTTTTTTAAAAGGAGTTTACGAAAATCGGGCGCCTATGAGGCGCCTAGTGGTCCGTGTTGTTAGTGTAGTCTAGAAAGGAGTATGGTTGAGCTAACTAGGCCGGATGCGACGCCTTGGAGGTGCCTTGTGGTCGTAGATAGTTAGTCAACCTCCATTCGTGACGCTTTGGAGGTGCCTTGGGTCGGATTACACTAACTGTTTAGTTGTTGAAACGGAATTGTTTCGGAAATGGGGAGCGACATTTGCATAACATTACACTTCATGGCATTTTAGTAAATCTGTGATTGGTTGACATTTGCTACATATTTGTTGTTGTGGTTGAGAATACGTATTTCCCATGGTATGATCCCGTCCCTTTTTATCCATTCTTTGTGTGGGATTCACGGGGATATAAGAAATGTGTCTTAGACACTTCCTACTGAGTTTATGCTCACCCCATTATTTTTTTAATATTTTTCAGGACATGGAAGAGAGGTGATAGATGACGATACACTACAGGTTTAGATGAGCTTGAAGACCCATTTTATTTTGTTACCTTTTGTATTAGAATTCTAATATTTTGTAAATATAATATTAATTATGTTGTGAAATTTTAGTTTAATTAGTATAATGTTGTAAGCTATGTACTATTAAATTTTAGCTACATTTTATGGACTGTTACTTGATGTAACTAAAGTATACTCATTATTTGGATGAGATGGAGGAAGGGGACATTTCATATATATGTAACCATCTTGGGAATGTGTTATAATATATGTATTGTGCGTTGGAATATGATAGGTTATTTTTAAGGCTCAGTGAGGCCATTGCACTTTTTTTTTTTGTATTTCAACAGGTTGTAGAGGGACTTTTTCTGCGGAGGTCATGTCAAAATTTTATAGATTTTATTATCATTATTTTGGTATCTTTTCGGGTCGTTACATTAACAACAATAATATGTGTGAATCATGGAATTCACACATACTAAAGGCTAAAGATAAGCCCATCATCACCATGCTTGAAATGATCAGAAAATCCTTGTTGAGGAGGTATCAAGAGAAAAAAAAGTACATGGAGGGGAAAAATGGGTTGTTGTGTCCAACTCTACAGCTCAGCTAAAATTGAACAAGAGGAACTCAATGAGTTGTCCTGTTCACCTCTCTGGAAAATCCATTTATGAGGTTGAAGATGGAGGAGTGAATGAAACTGTTAACTTATATAAAAAAGTTGTAGTTGTAGGGCATGGGATGTCACAGGTATCCCATGCAAACATGCATGTGCAGCTATATAAAGGAGAAATGGGCAGTTCTTGAAGAGTTTGTTGACCCATACTTTTATAGGGGGGATAATATATCCAATGACATTGAGAAATATGAGAGAAGTAACTAGGGTGGTCCCAACTATTCCTCCTATAGCTAGGAAACCCTAGGCAGGCCAAAGAAATAGAGGAAGAAAGCTCGTGATGAAGGTACATTAAGTGAAAAACCTGTGTACAAATAAAGGGCTCATCTTATTTGTGGAAAATGTCAATTGACTGGTCATAACTTAAAGACCTGTAAAAATGAACAAGTACATTTGAAAAATAAAAATTAAACAGGTTGTAATTGCTTTCAAACAGGTTATACTTGTATTCAAACATGTTACATTTGCATTCGAACATGTAACACAAGTAAAGAACAACAAAACATGTTTTTGTTTAAAATATTTCACAGTACTAGCTTGAATAATACAACACAAGTAAAGAACCCCAAAAGAAAATTGAGAACGGAACCATTACACTGAGGTAAGCATCTTTTTTTAGGTTGGGCATATCCTGTGTGCTTCATTTCTCTTAATTCTGCTATCATGTGTTTCGATCTCCAAAAGCTTGTCATCATCATTCACATTCATGGTTGGAGTTTGAGCAACTAATGGAGAATCTGCTCTTTGCAAGTCCCGCAACTCTTTTATCTCTGTCAATTTACGGTAATAATCAGGTAGTTCTTCATCCTCTCACCTCAAAAAACCACATGAACCAGTCCTGTAGTTTGCGCACCCATAAAACCTTTTACCAGGATTTCGTTGGGTAGATGACACATTCAAAGGACTTTTAACTCCACATTTACAATAATATTCTTTCATTGACCTCCCATTTGGGTAACAATGGCTTTTTGAGCTTGAAGATGATGGCATGTTTTGGAGTAAATAAAATTTTTTTTTAGACAATTAATAATATAAATAGTGTGCAGTTATGGATAAATAAATAAATGAAGAAATGGAGAAAAAAAATAAAAATAAAGAGAGGAAAGAAAGAAACGAAGCAGACATGGAGAGAAAGAGAGAGAGACGAATTGGGTTTAGGGGTGGGGGGCCATATATGCACAAATGGGTGAAGGCCTTATATGCACAAATGGGTGAGGGGAAAAATGGGAAATAAAAGGGTAAAATGGGGTTTTCAGTTTTACTTTTTTGTTAAAAGGTGGTCAGAGGGACTAGTTCTGCACATTTTTTGAATTTTGTGGATTAACATGCACATTTTCAAAAAGTAGAGACTAGTTTTGCACAAAGTCTATCTATTAGGGGTTTTTTTTTGCACTTAACCCTTATTATTTATATAAACAGATTTTGAAAAAAAAAATATTTGTTAATATTGTTTTTGTTTATAGATTATATAAATTTACTTATATAATTACTGTTCACACAGGCCAATTTTATAAACGTCAAGATGATGGTTATATTTTTATATTTATGTTTATGAATTTTTTATTTTTTATTTTTGCATGAAGAAAAAATAGTGTTAAAGAAGCAAAACAAACATCATTATCTATAGCTTTAGATAATCAAGAGGGCCATACATTCTACTAAAGATCATGTCTTTTTTTTTTTTTTTTTTTTACGAATACTCCATTTGCTAAGGTTGTGAGTAACCTTGTTAGAGGATCTAGGAATCCAATGAAGAGAGAGAAAATAAAGAGAGTTGGGTGCTTTTACACACACACACATAGAGGTATTGGACTTCCAAGTCTATAAAGATGGATTATCAAGGAACTCTTATTAACAGCGATAAAACTCCATATATAAGCTTCAAATACATATATACATATTGAGCTATATGTATAAATATATCATACACTATATATTAATTGCAATGGTCCAAATGAAAATGGGTTAAAGAATGAGACAAAATACTGAACAATATATATAGATATACAAAACTCCATATATCAGCTTCAAATACATATATGTACATAATGAGCTATGTGTATAATTATATCATACACTATATATTAGTTGCAATGGTCCCAATGGAAATGGGTTAAAGAATGAGACAAAACACTGAACAATACATATAGATATAAATGGTCTATATTAACCGGAAAGTAAGTGGGTCGAACAATGATTTTATCTTTGTATATCAAGCCAAAGAATAAAAGAAATCCATAGCTTCATTCTTACATTATTTTGGTGGGTCTTTATAATGGATATGTTGAAATATTACTTAAGTAATGAGTACGTTCCCTAAAAAAAAAAAAAAAAATTGATTGGAATAGCTATTTGTTACATGAAAGCCATTATAAGAAAGAAATAATTAAGCACTTTATAGAAATTTTTATTATTATTTTGAAACTGGTGTTGAATTTAAAAAAAAATAGTTTAAGGTTAACAAATATATTTTTCTGTTTATTGTTTTTAAAATAAGACAAATATTTTTACGTTACCAAACAATATATGTGATAAACAAAAGTTATACATAAACACTCATTATTTTAAAGGTTAAATGATAAATAATAAAAAATAATAATTACCAAACGGTGCCTTTGTAATGAATCAAAATTTTTTTTTTAATGGCAAAAATGTTGGAAGTTAGTAGCTAGAGGAGATGGAAGGGTGTAAAGTTCGAACAGGAGTTCGTGAACATCGGGAGTAACCCAACGAGAAGACAGGGCTGGGTAAGGCTGAGCCCAATCTTGGCCCAAGAAATTCAGGCCAGAACGAAACTAGGCCTCGGGCCCACGACCCAATTTAGACCCTTCATTTGCTGGAAATCCATGTCGGTAACAAAATGAAGTCTCTGTTCTAAAACTACCCCAAATTTCACTCTTTTTGAATGAAAATTAAAACCCAACGCCATCGAAACTGCTTCTGCTTCTCTGCTTCTCTCTCTCTCTCTCTCTCTCTCTCTCTCCTGTCAACTAAAGTTCACTAACTCTCGCTCTGGTCTCCATCGGTAATCAATTGACAACAATCTGGTTAGTTTTATACGTGTGTGTATATATATATATATGCGTGTGTATCTTGGTGTTTCTACTTGTGCCTTTTCATTTTCCAATGGCGTTTGATAATTTGACCTAAACACATGTTTTTTGAACTTGATCTTTTGAATTTGCGAATAATATGTAACGAACCTGTCCTCCACATCGAAAAGCAATTGATGATTATGTGAATTAATGGCGGATTAGGTTTTATAGTCTTTCTTGTTGGTATAATATTTTCAGAGAACTACTCTACTTTTCCTAGATTGGTTTTTGGCATGTTTATGTAACGTAGAATTATCCCATGTTACTTCTGAGAAGGCTTTACCACTGTTCAACAAGAGACGCCTTGAGATTCCTTTGCCTTGTTTATATGATTTCTCGAATTTGTGGTTATTTTATTTTATTTATGAAGAACTCTAAATTTAGAACTCCTGCCCATTTCTGTTGTTTGTTACTTGTGCCCTTCTGTTGGTGTATAATCATTTTGGTGCATGATTGTGTGTGCCCGTCTTATGTGTATGAAGAAATGCCAAAGAGATTGGTCAAACGTGATTTCATGATAGATTTTGTATAGACTAAATTGACACTTCTGTGTCAGTGAGTAGTATCTTAGTTGTGCATTAATGTTTCTCTTCTTCAAGCTACAGCATTTAACTTATCAGTAGTTGAATCTGTCTATATTTATGTTCTTGTTGTGAGGCTGAGTATTAAGTTTAGCAAGGTCAAGAAATTTAGCACATACTGGCAATTTCTTTTAACTTGAGAGCATAATAGTTGTGACCAATTGATTTGCCTTGCTGTATGAAATAAGAGACAAAATCTCATGAATAAATACACATAATACATAAAATAATAATTCTAATTAACTTTAACTAACACTAAAGTTAGGTCTATACGTAATCTACCCCTTATAGCATTGGCATTGATGAGCATATCGTTGGATACTGACCTTTTCGTTTTTTAGGCTCAATTATTCACAATGATGGAGTAATGAGATGATGTTAATCATAGAATCAAGGTAGAATGTGTTAAACAGAGGAGTGAATCTGGCGTATCTCTTTCAGATTGAAAGGGAAGTTCTATCTCTCTGTTTTCAGACCATTAGGGGGGTGGGCAAACAACTATTAGACCACCCATACTTTATGGTCTAGAATCTGGGCATTTGGAAACAACATATGTATAAAGTGAGTGTGGTGGAAATGCTAATGTTGGGATGGATATGTGGTAAGACGAGGAATGATTGAATTAGAAATGATCACATTTGAGAGTTGGTTGGAGTAGCACAAATTTGAGATATAATCGGTTAAGATGGTTTGGACACGTGCAAAGACGACGCTAAGTGTGCTCGTTAGGAAGAGTGACATAGTCCACATTGAGGGTAATAGTAAGGGAGAGGAAGGCCCAAGTAAATGTGGGTAGAGTTAGTAAGGAAGTATATGATATCATGTGGTTTGACAGTGGATATGGGCTTAAATAGAGTGGAATGGAAGCATAGGATTCATGTAGCCACCGATTCCAAGTAGTTGGGAAAAGGTTTGGTGGTGGTTGTTGTATATTTAATCATAGCATTCAGTCATTCTTCCCAAGTATCGGCCTTAAAACTTTATTTAATTTTTAATTTGGTAAGGTTTTAAAAATTGGACAATTTTAGATGTTTGGTAGCTTTTTATTTAATGTTAGCTGGTTTATTTAAAATTTGTAATAATGAACTTTTCTCGCGTTCTGGTTGCATGTCGACATCAATATAGTTTGTTTCTAAGACTTGACAAGCTACAACCTTGACCACTGTTAATGTAAATATGAAGTAAAATGTTGTGTTGACTTCTTAGACATGAACAATTTTTATTTTATTTATTATTATTTTTCAAACATAGACAGTGTATTAGGTATATTTGTTCACGGGAAAACTACTGCCCTTGGCATATTGGGCCAAAGGAGTAAACTTAACACACATCTATACTGTTGGTGAGAAGGCTGGGTTGTTGGTTGCTATTGGGACATGTGGTACTTAACATAAAATTTTCTAATCAATTTAATTTACTTCTTTTTTTTTTTTTTTTTTTTTGTCTTACAAAATGATCTCTAGTTATTTGTGGTGATCTATCTTAAGTATATGTCAATTTAATCGAGGATCAATGACTTGATTTGGCATTCAATTTTAGTAGAAAACTTATATGATAATAATGTTTGTCGTTACCTTGTGTATTTTGGGTTTTTATATGAAAATAAAGAAAGAAAAATGGTACTGGTTTGTAAACAATTATTAATTGAAATAGTAAAGGGATACTATTTTTGATCATGTTCTATACACATATGAGAAGAAGATAATTCATTTTTCAAACAGATAACATTAGGAATACCTTTCTAATATCGTTTGCAGTGGGAAAAAGAAGGGTTTGGTTTAACTCTAGTCATTGTTGCTTTTTAGTCGCAAATTGACAAATAAAATTATGATGGTCATCTACTGTATCATCACAGAGTGCCTTAATTACATTGATAGCATGGTTTTGAAGAAGGGATCACTTGGTAAACAGAAGACACTATGCCTACAAGGGCATAACCTTGTAACATTGCAGAATTCAAGGCTGCTGCTCGTTGGACCTCGACTCTTTAGCCATGTTAATAAGAATGGGTCTACTTGGCACCTTTTCCAACTGTTTTTTTGGACCTGCATGTGATTTATTTCGATCATAATTTCCTACTGAGAAGCTATTTATTGGCTACTCTCATTACAACTGTTTTTGATGATCCATGTAATCATTGAGATTGTTGCATTTCTTTCCTTCTTCCGAAAATGGCAAAATAAAATGACTGAATGTTGGACCCCGTTTTGTTCATTATCTTCCGCTCCAAGAATTCATGTATCAAAAGGAAGTTTGCCCTGTAAGTGCTTTGTCTAATGATGCCAATGAGACAAACGAAATAAATTGATTGGGTCATAAGATATTTTAATTATCTTGCTAGGATAATTTCTCTCTCCCAGCTATTATAGAAAGGAATGACAGGCAGTGGAACAGTATATCTAGTCTTCAATCGTTTTCTCTTCTTTATTTTGGATGGCTTAACATGTTAACTGTGGGGCTGTTTTAAATGTTGCTCAATGTTAACATTGAGCAACATTTAAGATATTTTAATTATCTTGCTAGGGTAACGCTAGAAGTCTCTTGATTAACTTAGGGTTTGCTTAACATATACCTAATGGCATTGAATATAAAATAATTGTAAGGGCAAAATTGTAATTTCTCGGCATAAAAGGGGGTGGGGCGGGATGAACTTTCTCCTTCCCTGCCTTGCACTCGTGCATGTTTTCAGTATTAACCCCCATCATTGCCCCAAACCATTTAATCACTGCAACATTTCTAAACGGGACCTTTTTGGTTTATAAAAGGTGTAACATGTGAAATTTTTTAATACACCTAGAACTTAATAGTTAATAAAGCCACTAGAAGCCGCTAAAACTTGCTTCATGAGGCTCGATGATAAGGCTTCTTATAAGATCAGGGGTAGGAGTAGAGTATATTGGGATCTCATCAAACCTAACATGCTATTTCCTATGTCAAAATACCACCCACGTATCTCACAAAAAAAGGGAAAAAAAAGAACTAATTTGTTGTGTGATGATTCATTTTTACTTTTTATTACTTATTTATTTTTGTGATGTTGTGACCTGAATTTGGTTCAGGGTCACGTTTCGACCCATTGATTGAGCTTTGTGTTGGCCCAAGCCTATTTATGTACTCTCTTGTAGCTCGGTATATATGGGCGCTTAGGGTTTGGAGTGGGATTAGAGAGAACACTGAAAACAAGAGAGAGAGAGAGAGAGAGAGAGAGAGAGAGAGGGTTTGGGGGCTGAAACTTGTAATCTCCTACCGTGGACGTTGACACAACTTGTGTCGAACCATGTAAATCTTTGTGTCTTGTGTGGTCTTGTTTTTGGCGCGTCTCATGATTGTTTCTTGGTTTGTAATTTGTTCATGGAGAAACTAAAATGTATTGATATGTACTTATCAATAGTGTCTTTTCTTCACACTGTGTTCTATCTCTCCCCTTTCCTTGGAAGGTAGTCACTACCTGATCCACAAAAGATGCTTTTTGACCGATAGCTAGTGAGTTCCCTTTCATATCTTTTTCATATTAGACCTCTCTCTCTCTCTCACACACACACACACACACACATATATGGGTGTGTTCTGAAGTGCTATGCCCTAATGCTCCCATGCCATGTATGGTCTACTCCGGTTCAATCCATGGTGTCTGCATGGAAGAACAATTAGTAGTCTGTAGGTGAAAGAAGAATATGGTTTACTATTTGTGTTGCTTATTAAATTTTCTGGTGTTCATGTGGATTTTGTCATCTTTACTCAGTTCAGGTCTTCTTTGCATCTTTAGTAACAAACAAATTTGGTATTTACTAAGGTTAGTTTTCTTTTAAATATTTTTTGTTGCTAGTCCCTGAATGTAAAGTTTTCTTTTAGATATGTGTTAAAATTTGAATTAATGATACTTTTTATGCTAGATTTCCTTTTGTAATGCTTATGTGGATGAGTTAATTGTGCATGTTCTTTAGTTTCTCTAAGTGCTTGTTTTTGTACCCATAGTTTAGTTGTTAGACTGTGCATGACGATTTTTCCTATTGCCCATTTCCATTTTCCTTGTAATTCACCTGAGGGAATCTTAAGAAGTATCTAGTGTTTTTGGAATTGTAGTTTAATATGATCTGGTGGTGGGAGGTTTTTAATTTCTAAATGTTAAGACTGCCAGAGTCATATCAATAGCCATTTCTTCTGAGATTGCCAGAGCGTCATCAGTAGCCTTTTCTTCTGCTATTAATGTCTATGCTACATCGGATATAAGAGCATGTCCAGGTCTATGGTCACTCTTGTTGCCATTCTGAAGATATGGGGAAACAGAAAGTGAGGAAGAGATTGAAATATGGGATTTACTATCTAAAGAGAACTAACGACAACCGGAAGATGCAAATTTTTTTAATTTAAGTGGATGTAGGGTTTAGTTTTGAAACTGTCATTCTCAGTTCTGCCTCTTCTAAACTAATCAAGTGTAGTCATCAGTCTATGATGATGATAATTCTTTTGAAAAGGTGCAGCTATTTTTCATCTTTCCTTGTAATTTGGCTTTGACAGAGCTGAATTACTGAATGATTGCTTGCTATTGGCCCTTAATGTATGAGTTAGTCATGCAGAAACCTGTTTATTTGTGTTGTTTAGCTGTTTGCTCCCATCCAATGTGGTTTTCCATAATGAATTTTCATCCTTCTTTAGTTCCTTTCTTATGATTGAAGTTGATAAGAATTATGACTTTCAGTGCACTTATTGCTAATCTGATCACCTATATGATTCTTAGACAGCAGAGTTCTTCTCTCCTTGTTGCAGAATATGAGTAGTTTGGTCGAGAGGCTTCGTGTAAGATCAGATCGTAAACCTATTTACAATTTAGATGATTCAGATGATGATGCTGATCTTGTGCGTGGGAAATCTGGGACAACCGGGGAGAAGGTTGAAAGGATAGTCAGAACTGATGCGGTCTGTTGTTCTTTCGCCCCACATTTCTGTTTCTTTGTTTCTTGTTATTGTAGTTGTTGTTTGCGTCCTATCTTGTTTAGTTTTTATAGTGTTGTTGTTTTTGTGTTATTCTCATTGAAGCTGAACTGCTAATTGTTCAATTACATTTACAAAAACTGCCGTTAGGTATGGCTCTTGGAAATTTCGTTTTGGTTTCGGAGTTTGTAAAACTTACTTTACCTCATTACCCCTTGTTTGTCTTGCTAATATGCTGCTTACTTCATCATGAAATTATGCATGTTTTGCTTTCATGGTAAAGATGTTACAATGCTGCTGCTTTCATCGGTGACCTTTGCATATACACACCGGCTAGCCAATTTTAGAATTTTAAACGACAACTCTCTCATAATCTAATGAAAGGAAAACTTCTATATTGAACTTTGGATATGTTTCAAGATTGTATTAAAATGAATTTTTACTTCATCAAAGCACTAAAAGATAGTAGCTGAAGTTTGTGTATTCATTCATTGGTGTAGGCCTTTGGTATTTTAAAATTTTGTTATGGTGGAGAGCTCCTTTCTTTGGAAAGGTTACTCACGTAAGGATGTAAATGAGCTGAGCTGGTATTTCAATCATTCCATGTTTGGATTTAGTGTGATGTGTTGCAAATTTTATGGTGAAAAAATATCGGTGAGTGGTAATTTTTGTTTCATTTTGAGTCATGTCCAAGCTGAGTTTCAAAGTCGAGGAAAATCGTGTTCAAACAATTAAAGATGTGAGCAATCCATTCACAAACTTAGCACATGTTATGACAAACACAACGAACTCAAGAAATAACCAATAAATATGACAGAAAGTAAACACATCACACACAAAGATCACAAAGATTTAGCGTGGTTCGGCAAAAACTATGTACATGGTGAAGATCTGGCGAAAGAATTCACTATGCGAAAATCTGGAGATTACAAGTTTCAGCCCAAACCCTAGCTCTTGCTCTCTTTTCTGCGATTTTCAGTGTCTCTCAATCATTCCACTCCAAACCCTAAGCGCCCTTATATATCGGGCTACAAGCCCGCAAGCAAAAAACCCAGTCTAATATTTTCCTTGGTGTGCTGCCTCTGAACTCCTCAATCAAAGGGTCGTCGGGTCGTAAACGGGTCGCAACGCGACACAGAACCAAATTAAGGCCACAACATCATAGCTTAATTTGTCCCTTATGCTTCATTTGTCTTACTAATTTTTGATAAGTAAGATTTCATTAAAGAGCGCTCAGAGTGCATGAAGCAAACAGAAAGAAACAGAAATCTTCTTACAGCAGTAAGAAAGAATAGGGTTACTCCAATCACCGCTGAAGCCTAGGTTTCTGAAGGGAAATCTGGGGAAAGCCTGAAGAGAAGTTTAAAATCTGATAATATATAAAAATTTTCCGAATCTTAATTACTTAGTACCCAAAACAAGAATGTCTCTTTGATTTTTTTCTTCATGATACTTTCCCAAAGCACCATTAATGATTTGCAGCAGTGCATCCTAAGAACAAAAGCTAGACCAAGAGGGTCTGCTATACAAACAAAGTATCCACAAAAGAAACTATATATTCCCCACTGATTTACATTTCCCCGTGGACCCAAAAAAGATAAAGTATGAAGAATAGAGAAAGCACCCAAGCTGGAACCTCAACTTCATCAAATGACTGCCTATTTCTCTGTCACCTCAGCCCCCGCCAAAGGCAAAGGGGCGCCACCCTCCAAGCATCTCAGACCTGCTTCATGTGTCTTATTAATTTGTTCTCATCTCTAGTACTGCTTCCACACTCCACCACCAACATTCATTAGATGATGGTTCTCTGCCTTTTTTTTTTTTTCCCAAGAACATTTTATGCCTTTCTTCTGATATATTTGGTTATTCTGTTCCATGTTACACTAGTTCCTTTTTTTAAGTTCCATTTTCTTTTAAACTTTTTATCTGTAGATACTTCTAATTTTTGTTTTCTTTAGATGCTTTTTTGTTCAGAGTAATGATACTTAGACCTATTTGCCAAGCCAATTTGTCTAGCCTAAAGGTTTTTTTATCCATTTGATGTAGTGGATAAACTCAAGTATGGGTCCCATCCACTAACATTAAAGGCTAAAGACCTTTAGGCTGGACAATCGGCCTAACAAATAGGCCAAAGAATCATTTTCCTTTTGTTCATGATTCCCAGTCCTTTTTATCTTTGATATTGTGCCTGTGAATTTATTGACATTGGGAACAAGGGGAAAGAGGAATAATTAGCGTCAGGATCTTGGGTTTCCAGTACACGATGCATTTTTTTTTTATTTGGTGTTTTGAAAAGGAAAATATGTTGTGACATCCAAATATTATAAATATCTATGATCCCTTTTTCGAAGTTTGCCTTTTTCTCTATTTGTCATATAATTTTCCATAAACTCAATACTTCTCCTTCATGGAAAGAGCGGAATAGAAGATTTTTTGATGGGGAAGAATCTTCCATTGGGGTGTTGAAATTTTCTATTATTTGTTCTCTTTTTTTGTTGGGGTTGGGGGAGAGATTGTTCATCTTTAGATGAAATCGTGGACTTTTTGGGTTCTTTGGGTCCATAGGCCTTCCCCCTCCCCTTGTTTGGTTCTTGTACAGCTCTTGGGATGCGTTCCCCTTTTGAACGCTTTCTAATACATTTTATTTATCAAAAAAAAAAAAAAAAAAATAGAGTTTATTTACTCATTTTAGTTTTTTCTATGAGCGAGAAAACCTTCACTAAAGCTCCAAATTGGCCACGATAATTTACATGCTATTTAAGACACACAGGAACTAATCTCCAAAAAACTCAGATTTCCAATGAAATCTACTAAAGATGCAAAGAAGAGGTAAACGTCTTTGAAATTCAAAACTGAACCTATGGACTGGTGTTTCTTCGGAGTGGTAGATTCACCTGTTCCTTTTGTTCTAGACAGACACTACATAAGTCATTGCACGCTGCCTGTTGCCCCACTCTTTTGGTAGCAATGGTCGCCTCTCAGTAGCCATTTCAATTTCCTATTGATTAGGGTATAATCAAGAGAATTGCAATAAGAGAGGCAACATTTACCAAAGGTCCATGAAGTTAGTTGATATTGACTTCTGTGAGTGTAGACCTGTAGTAAGAGCAACTGGTCACCTTACCTTCGCAGTAATGCCATGGACTAGGGCATGGTTGACAATCCCACTGCTTTCTTAGATGTGCAAAACCAGCTCAAAGTCCCCTCCCCCCTCTTACACTCGGGCTTATCTGTTGCAATAGCCTACAAACTGTAGTTCAGATGACAAGACACCTTGGACGACATCTTGGCATACCCTTCAGTGGAACCCTGGGTCCCATACACAGAATTCCCATTCAATAACCTCACCCCAAACTTGCCATTGCTGTCAGCCTTTCACATGGGTAAAATGTGCCCTAAAATGTTTCCAAAATATCACTCACTTATTCCAGCTCCCAGAATAGATAAGTTTGGAGTAACATTCTTCATAGTTAAGTCTTTGGGCTTTTTTCGATAACTTTTTTTATATTAAAAATGCACAAGGGAACACTACCCTATGGACTCTGGCACCAAACAGTTGCAGGACCTTCTTTAACATTCCATGGCTGTGATATGTAGAGATATAGTATAATTGATCCTGGATTTTTCTTGTAATTGAGATGATGGTTCCTATGAAGGGAAGTAGAATATGGGGGTCTCTAAGTTGCTTAAGGACTGATTTGGTTGCTGGTTGGCGAGTGTCACTCGTCCTGTTGCTGCTGGTAGCCAGCCTGCAGTTGATAAGCAGCAATCATAATTTAAAATAATTACTCATTGTTGTTTGGAGAACAACGGGGAAGGGTTGAATGAGAATAAGATCAGAAGAAGCGGCACGTGGAAATATAAAGAGGTAAAAAAATATGGAAGAAACAAGAAAATCAGACTCTAGAATAACTCCCGAAAAAGCAATTTCTCAGCAGACCATTCACTTGCAAGCTGAAAGATGAATGCAGTACTTATTATTTTTAAAAGCTACTATTTAGTAATCCTACTCCAGAATCAATTTCTCTTGACCATAGTTCAAAACCTAACAGAATTGAATCCCCAAAGATGGGAAAGATGGGATCTTTTCTGGCTCACTGCAGTAATATTGTTAACAATACGGCACTGTTGTAGTTCACTGCAGTAGCTCTGCTGCACCTTCAATTTATATTGTACTTTAAATATAGAATTTGTTAGGAAGTTTGTGTCTCAGGATATAGCATCAAAAGCGTCCAACATATGTACTTTACATTGGACCAAAATACCTTTTGTTTTGTTTGAATTTTTGTAATTTTTGTATATAAATATAGTCCTTAATATAATTTGCTTTTGGTATTCAGATTGAAAAGCACTATAGTTTCGGCATATTTGGACCTTTGCCAAGATTACTGATTCAACATGTTTCAATGAATTTTTTGGTTCCCCTCGTAGTAGAGTTCCCGTCTTTTTACAGTTACTTGTTTTTTCATATTTCAAAAACCATGTAGTCTTATATTGCTAAAGATTATTTTTATTATGTTATGTGTTTTGTTAATAGAAAGATGATTCATGTCAAGCCTGTGGCGGCAGTGGGAATCTCCTGTGCTGTGAAACATGTACTTATGCTTACCATCCCAAGTGTTTACTTCCACCGCTAAAAGCTCCTCTTCCAAGCAATTGGAGATGCCCTGAATGCGTATGGTTCCACAATTGATTTTGAAATTGCTAGTTTTGTTGAGCTTATATACAATTTTTACTTTTTTCGTCATAAGTGAGATTTAGATGTTCTTTGTTGCAGGTTAGCCCTCTAAATGATATTGATAAGATATTGGACTGTGAAATGCGACCTACTGTTGCTGATGATAGTGATGCCTCTAAGCTGGGATCAAAGCAAATATTTGTCAAACAATATCTTGTTAAGTGGAAAGGGTTATCTTATCTTCACTGCACATGGTAGTTTTGTGATTAATGGTTTCCATTTATTATATCTTGACTTTTTGTGGAACCTGGTATCTTGACTGGTATTTCTCACAAGAAGTAAATTTTTTTTTTGAAAGGTTAAGCAAATACCCAAGGCTTGAACACCTGACCTCTCCTTTGGGGAGGAGGGTTTGGGTTAAGAAGTAAAATGTCTTGCAATAAAGTTTGATAACTTTGGAAAACCATTTTTCTGCTTGTACTCCTTTTTTGGTACCATGTTAACGTTATGTTCTTCTTCTACGCAGTGTAACTTCGTTTGGTCTTGTTCTCTTAATGTCACGATTATCTGTTGCATTCATTTTAAAATTTAATTGCAATGCTATTGCCTCATTCGTGATATACTATCTTAGGGTACCAGAGAAAGAGTTCTTAAAAGCTTACAAAACACATCCTCGTTTGAAGATGAAAGTAAACAACTTTAAACGTCAAATGTCATCAACGAATAACTCAGAAGATGAGTTCGTGGCTATTCGGCCTGAATGGACTACTGTTGATCGGATTATTGCTTGCAGGTCAGATACCTTCTGAACCATTACATATCATCTTTTTGTATAAATTGTGGTTCGACTTTGTTGGCTCAAATCTTTCTGTCTTTTTTTATTTTTATTTTTTAAAATTTTCCGTTTCTGAAATTTTGATTTGAGTTAAAGTTACATTCACTTCAAAATACAAAATCAGCACAGTATTTGAATCATTATGTAAAATCATAAAACAGGCTAGTAAATTTTTATTCTAGCATGTTGGATCTTTATAAACCCCTTGACATAAAAAAGATATTACTGTAAATTGGAGTGATATGCTGTCATAAAATTTTTGTGTATTAGGGACGCGTTCCCCTTTTGAACGTTTTTCTAATATATTTTTACTTATCAAAAAAAAAAAAAAATTTTCACATTGAGTGAAAATAATTTATATCTAAGAAAACTTGGATGGACGGTGAATAGACAATGCTTTACAAGTTTGTCTTAAATTGGGCTTGCTTAAGCTACGGGTTGTTATTAATGTTACTTTTTTGATAGGGAACTGAAGGGAGGACCGTCGCCCAATGTTAATTCCGGCCTACACCTAGAAGAAAAAGAAAGGAGAGAGAAGGGGGGGGGGGACGGATAGGTCTTCCAAAAGCTGGAACAAATTTAATTTTCCATTATCACACAACTAGCAATAGATAAATCATTGAAATGAAAACCATCACACAGAGCACCAAATTTACATGGAAAACTCATTAGGGGATGATTAAAACATGTAGTGACTGTCACTATGGTTCTGATACGTCAAAATGCCCGCGTTGAATTAGACCTAGATGGGGGTAAATAGGTCTTACGGATATTAATTTACAACTAACTTTTTGAATTACTCTTAATCTTGAACTTGAATTTAGTTAATTACATGCATGTCTCAATTGCTACCCTGCAAACGTATAAAGCAGTTAAAATAAAGCAGACACAATATTTTTACGTGAAAAACTCTGAAGGAGGAGAAACCACAGGACCTAGTCTAGACAGATCAAATGCCACTATCTAAGAAAGAAGTTATGGACTAAGTTACCAGACTCTAATCCACGAACCACCTAATACCTCCTGATTGTGACTTGTATAAGATCAAAACCAGATCCTCCGGTTGCTGATCCATCGGCATACTCACTCCTCATGCTATCTATTCCTCCATGAACTTCTGATCTTCACCACAAGTGACGTTTGATGAACTTTGCTCTTAACGAACCACCTGGTTGATGCTCTGGTATTCTCAATTCATCTCCTTGCTTTGATTCTCTCAATCACATATAGTATGTTAATTAATGAAGACCATTAGATTGATTCTCAAAGCGCTCTCTCTAAAAATATAAATTCTTTCAATAACATGTAAAGAGTTAAAGCTCTTTGTAAAGGATACCCTGGACTAACTAACTCTATATTTATAGACAACATAGGATACCCATAAAAGTAAGGGCTAGCCTTGTGCACGAGCCTCCCGCCACTTCTGGGTTTGGGGAGGGATAGATGTATGTAACCTTATCTCCACATTTAGAGAGGCTGTTTCCTGATTTGAGCCTGTGATCACCAGGTCATTATGGATCAGCCTTACCATTGCGCCAAGGCTGCCTCTAAAGTACGGGATTGGAATGATGATGTAAATAACTTGTGGCTCAAAATAGTTATTCATATTAGGAGTAAGGCAAAAGAAATTTTGAGAGAAACCAAAGGAGAGAAGTTCATTAAGAAAGAGACAAGGTGGTGGAGATAGGAAGTGAAACAAATAATTAAACAAAAGAGAAAAAGCTTTAAAGCATGGCAAAAAAGTAGGTAACAAGAAGAGTTGGATGCTTATAATAAACTCAAATTTGAAGCAAAGAAGTTTGTAAGCTGTTAGAATGTTGTGATTATACAAGATACATTCTCTCTCTCTCTCATATGATTATGAACATAAGCAAAGTTCACTAAATGTCCTATACTCCTATATGAAAAAAGTAGGCAGAAAAGAGGGCGAAATAAATTAGCAAATAATTGAGATAGATAAAACAAAGACCTAAATCAAATTAGATTAAGGACATAGATATCACAATATTAGTCAAAGAAAGCAATATATTAATTAGATGGAAAATTTATTTTCAAAATATATTAAATGAGGAATACCCTAGAGAATAAGTAGAAGGAAATGAATTTAACATGGGAACAATAAATAAAATCACCAACAAGGAGGTAGAGGGCACACTTAAGAAGATGGGGAGTAATAAAACAGCAGGCTGGGATAACATACCCATAGAAGCTTGGCGAACATTAGGTAATGTAAGACTTGAATGGCTAACAAAGTTCTTTTATAGCATCCTAAAACAAAGCATGATGCTTGATTGGAGAAAAAGTACAATAGTTCCAATTTACAAAAATAAAGGGGATATACAAAATTATGGTAACTATAGAGGAATTAATTAATGAGTCATATAATTAAAATATGAGAAAGGGTAATAAAACAAAGACTAAGGAAGGAAGCCACGATATCTGATAACCAATCCGGATTTATGCCTGGGAGATCCACAATGAAAACCATATACCTAGTTAGACAATTTGTTGAAGAATGTAGGAGTAAGCAACAAGACTTACATATGGTTTTTATAGACTTAGAAAAAGTGTGTGATGGTAGAGATAATTTGTTGGGCTCTATAAAGAAAACAAATCTCTATACAAATCATAAAATGTGTCCAAGATATGTATATAAACACAAAAACTAAGGTTCGTACCATGTGTGGTGAAACTAGGAAGTTCTCCATAAACGTTAAATGACACCAAGAATAAGTGCGAATCCCATATCTATTTGCAACAATATTACATGATATAACAAGAGACTTTCAAAATGAGATTTCACGGTGCATGTTGTTTGCTGATGATATAGTACTTTGAGATATGTCGGAAGAGAACATAGCAATAAAATTAGAAATGTGAAGAGATGCTTTGGAATTGTAAGGATTGAGAATTAGTCAAACTAAAATAGAGTGTATAGAGTATAGATTTAATAAAGACTCGGACATTGATAATATAGTGTTATCACTTCAACCCCAAAAGATTACTCAAAACAGCCACTTTTGCTATCTTGGTCGATAATACAAAAGGATGGAGAGAGAGAGACAGTGATATAACTTGTAGAATTGGAGCGAGTTGGACCAAATGGAGATGAGCGAGTGGGATTTTATGTGATAAAAGAATAACACAGGCTAAAATGAAAAATTTATGGGACCATTAGTAGACCTGTTGTGTGGATCGGAGTGTCGGACCCCTAAAAAAAGAAACAAGAACAACACCTTCATATAGTAATGCTAATATGGATGAGTAGAGTGACTAGAAGAGATAGGGTCACTAATGAAAGTGAGAAAAATTAGGGGTGACACCAATTTGTGAGAAATTTAGAGTGTAGATTTACATGGTTTGGATATACACATCGGAGACCTAGTGATGTGTGTGTCAAACGAGGATGATTAGTTGTCATAGAAGGTAAGAGATGGAGAGGGCGACCAAAATTAACTTGCGGTGGGGTTATTAAATATGACTTCGAAAAGTTAAATATAGTAGCGACTAGCAATATGGCATGTAATAGACCAGATTGGAGACAGAATTCATGTGGCCTATCCCATTCATGTGGGATCAAGGTAAGGATGATGATGATGATAATAGGAGACCCATTGGGATCAAGGTAACGTATGGTAAGTAAAATATTAAAATTCTGATTTGAGAGAATTTCCATTGAAGTTTTTCTGCAAGGTTTTATTGATTGAGCCTCCAATCGACTCTTACTAGTCAAGCTTTGATCAATTGATCATCTTAACAAAAATTTTGCTGCAATTCTCGATCGATGGATCAGTATATTGATGCTCACTGACTTGTAGAAATCCTCAAATCCAAAAATCATTTTATCAAAAACACCAATTTTGATAAACATGATTAATAATAATTTAAGCATTTTAATGATCATATGTAGGTCATTATAAATTTCTATGTTCTCAGGTACTTTTACCTAGATATTTGATCGAGTCTTGAAAGATTTTCAGTGTGTTCTTCGTTTATTTTCCGCTGCATCATTTTTTTTTTTTTTGTGTTTGTAAACAAATGATTCTTAATGGCACATTACAACCTAAGTTTTGGTTGGGGTATGGGGAGAGATTGTTTATCTGTAGATGAGATCATGGACTTTTGGGGTCTTTGGGTCCATAGGTCCTCCCCTTCCCCTATTTTTTCTTTTTCTTGGTTCTTGTACAGCTCTTGGGACGCGTTCCCCTTTTGAACGCTTTCTAATACATATTTACTTATCAAAAAAAAAAAAAAGAAGAAGAGGAAGAAGATGAGAGAGAGAGAGAGAGAGGAGTATTTTGTGAAAGGTGAGACACGCAGATTAGGGGTTTCCCCACACCTCTCACCTATTATATATTAAGTAGACATAAAGACAATAGTACCCTTGATAAATAAAAGAAATAACAACCACACTCTCTAACACTTTCTATCTTGTATTTCTTCTTGGCATCGAAGCCAGGGTGGTCCGACCGCGAGGGTGTTGCGAGTTCGGCACCATCCATTCGGGGTGGTCTAAGGAGACATTTGTTGATGGTTTGTGGTCTGAGGAGACTTTGGTAATTAATCTATCTACATATTGGGGAATGGTCTGAGGAACCATTGTTCTCATTCAAACCTCTACATATTATTAATCTCATTCAAGCCTCCACGTATTTCTCTTGTATTCTTTCTATCTTGCATTTCTTCTTGGTATTAGAGCCAGGATGGTCTGACCGCAATGAGAGCATTGTGAGTTCGGCACCATCCATTCGGGGTTGTCTAAGGAGACATCGTTGATAGTTTGTGGTCTGATTAGACTTTGGTGATTCTTCTATCTACATATTGAGGAATGGTGTGAGGAGCCATTGTTGATTGTTTTATGGTTTAAGGAGACATTGTTGATTCTTTCATCTTGTAGATGAAGGGAAATGGTCTAAGGAGACATTGTTGATTCTTCTATCTACATATTTTAAACACGT